TCTAAACACAAAATACTTCAATAAACGGGACACACTTCTTTCCTGCAAATATAATTTCACAGGTGTTGCTAGTTCCTATGATCCTTCAAGGGATGTGCTCAAAGAGGAGTTCAACATTATGAATACAATATAGTGTTTTATTTTACAAATACCATTATAAACACAAACTTACGTCGTAAGAAACATTATTTTAATAACAAAACTGCTAAATTCTTTCCAACAGTATAGATGTGTAGCGTATTTTGTTCGAGTGGGTTTGCCGTACTTTGACGTCATCGGCAGTCGAAGGACCCCGAGCCGATCTGGCACCCGAGCAATCCTGTACCGACACCGGGGCTCCCAGGGGCAGATAAGAGTTGGTCTCTCTCCGAGAATAATTATGAATTTAACAACGATTACTGCCTGATGACATTTTCCCACATCTGCGAAGCTCACTGGAAGGACACAAACCGAGGACAATATTTTCCTGGTATAGGGTTTATTACTCAAGTAAGGGTAAAAAAGTATCTGATTAGAAGGCTACTTGAGTACTGAGTATCATCTGATCTAATATTTTTAAAATGATGACATCAAACAGACATAAAATAAGAAGTTATGGGCAAATATTGGTATTTTAAAGACTAAAGGGAAAATATGTAAACAAATAAACAACATAATTACAAAATAACACATTTTAGGCTAAATTTAGACACAAACTGAGGACAATATTTTCCTGATATACAGGGTTTATGTAGTTGTCTGAAAGTGTAACACGTTCAAAAAAATACCGCAATAATACAGAAAACCGTGATAATTTTGGTCACAATCACCGTGTGGTTAAATCTTCACACCGTCACAACCCTAAACAGATTTTAGTTTATTCATATTAGATAATAAAAATCCTGTTCCAGGTTTTCGAAGCACCAGATGTTGCTGACACACGTTAAGCCTCTCACATGTGTCAGAATCCCCGTTTCCGTGATAACACACAGCTCAGAGCTCCGTGTGTGTCAGCGGGATTCAACACAATAGTCTCCGAGTGAAGTTCCCGTGTCAGCGTGTCTGTGAAATGTCACAGACTAATTCCTGGGCGTTTATTGGAGCCGGTGGCCCCGGTGATTCTGAATCTGAATTGACTCTGTGTCATTGTCATATTATCAAACGTACAATAAGACACAGTGATACCTCTGAGCCCCCCCCCCCGACATGTGACTATTCACGCTCCTGCTCTCCTGCCCGACCTGTCAGCCTTGTCGATATGATTATTCCTGCATCTAATTGGAGTCAGGGAGGAGGACGAGGCTCTAGGTGGCGTGGAGGGAGGACGCGGGGAAATCTGTTGATGTAAAATAAAAGATTTAAGGATACCTTCAATATACCTGATCACGCTGGAAAACTGCTGAGAGAGCACTCCTAGGCTCTTTTCTCCATAAGTCATAAAACAAGCCTGCAGTAAGTCGTTACCCATGAGAACTCTGGCGTCTTATTCGGTCGTATTAAAATCAGAAAGGATCCTAATAGATTGAAGACCACACCCATGTTTACTAATCTCAACGTTAGTTTCACTTTCTCTCTCCATCATTTTAGACAAAAAGCTCATTTTACAGGAATAAACAGATTCAATTCAATTCAATTCAAGTTTATTTATAAAGCGCCAAATCACGACAAGAGTCGTCTCAAGGCACTTCACATAATAAACATTCCAATTCAGGTCAGTTCATTAAGCCAATCAGAAATAATGTTTCCTATATAAGGAACCCAGCAAATTGCATCAAGTCACTGACTAGTGTCAGTGACTATACAGCAATCCTCGTACTAAGCAAGCATTTAGCGACAGTGGAGAGGAAAACTCCCTTTTAACAGGAAGAAACCTCCAGAGGATCCTGGCTCAGTATAAGCAGCCATCCACCATGACTCACTGGGGATCGAGAAGACAGAGCACACACACACACACACACACACACACACACACACACACACACACACACACGCACGTACGCGCACACACTCAAAGACAAGTAATGTGTCTATAGTTATATTGTGATGTCTTAGTAAATATTTTATTTGGTGAGAGATACACTTTATTGTATTTATCCTAGTGGATCTATAATTAAACGGGTAAACTAGTAGTAGCACATCCAACGTCAAGGAAAGCAAAAAGTTATTATCAGGAGAGGGAGAATGTTTAAGTGGTCAGCAGCAGTGTGCTAGCCGATGGCCCCCTCCATGGGGCCACCACAGCTCAGCAGATAAACTTGGAACTAAAAGGAGCTTATCTACATGCACTTTGAGCGTTTTTGACCAAGAGTCACAAAGCGGGTCGGAATATCACAAAAAGCTGCCATTAGTCGATAGGCTGCGTGTTTTTATTTTCATCAGCTGGTGTTTATCGACCCTGCTTTTAAATCTTCAATCTGGAGTTTTCCCCCTTTCAGGAATTATGTTTGAATCTTTGGGAATGTGTGAAAGGGATAGCCTAACATTGCACTGTGACATAATGTGGGCGATACACACATGCATTTTGCTAGTAAATACTGAGCTGAGGTGAAAAGAGCGTTCACAAGCACTGACTGTTGTTTAAAACGGGGTTTATAAAATGGTCTGGTGACATTTGGACGTCTGTTTGCAGGATTAACGCCACAGCCCTGTAGGAAACTTGCCTCCCTGCTGATCCTGACAGCTCTGCCTCAGTAAAGGCGACTAACCTGACTTTCAGTGATGTCAGATTTATCGTGAGAAGTTTTGTTACGACGCCGAAATAATCAGCAAAAGTTTAGAGCTGAAGTTCAGCATCACGAAAGCATTAATGCTGTCAGAAATCCTGAGTCTGAGACATTGGTTATCCTGTAGGAACAACCTGAACACAGATGTGTGTGTGTGTGTGTGTGTGTGTGTGTGTGTGTTCGCTCTGCGGGCAACTCTCTCAATCTGATGATGTGTTTGCTGCTGACCTTTAAACAACTCTGTCCCATCATCCTCTGCTTCTCTTACAGAGGCCCATGGGGATTTAACACACACACACACACACACACACACACACACACACACACACACACACACACACACACACAGACTGATAAAGGGTAAACGCAATCATGCACGTTCACACACTCATGCATGTATAAAGGTTTCTGTGGACATGAGAAAACACCGTATACATGTAAAAGCACACACACACACACACACACACACACACACATACACACACACACACAGCACTGTCTGAGGTTTGGCAGTAATGAGGCCTGTCATCCTTCCACGCCGCCTCTCTGCCTCCTTCTTCTTCTTTCTTCTTTCATTGATCCACTAACGGATCCCCAATATAACAACTAGCAGTCGCTGTGGGAGCCTCCTCTTCTCCCACTCTCCTCCTCCTCCTCCTCGACACTCATCCCTCCGGACCATTTAAAGCCCTACCACCGCTCTCTCCTCCTCTCTTCTCTGTCGTAAACTCTCTCTGCCCTCAATCTGGGCTGCAGTCTTGTTAAGCCGTCTGACAAACGGAGGAGGTGTCTCCTGGATCCTCGGGATGCTGAAGGTGGTCGTTTGTCCGTCTGTCTCACCTGGACTTCTCTGGAAAAACACAACAAACAGCAGCAGGAAGCACCGAGGCAGCCGAGATGTTTCAGAGACACTAAAGTCTTCTGACTCTCATCAGAGGAGCATTTATTATTAGACGTTTCAGAGAAGAAGGCCTGATGGTCATCCGGTTATTATTAGTTAGGAGCTTGAAGCTAATATTGTAAAACGGTTCAGAGCTTTTCGACCCTTTAGGTTTTTTCTTTGTGTAAATTTTTATAGAGCCAAATTGAGTAGAAATTGATAATTCAGAAAGTAAACCAACATTTATTTTCCTTCAAAAGTTTTAAATTAAAACATTGTGATTATCAGACATGTAACAGTTAATTTAGACATAAATGCTCATTTTCCCCATCTGATTTGTGTGTTAGAGTATATTTCCACTAACTCAGGCTCTTTTATTGTTTTTATTTTAATTATTTCTCACGTTTTACTTCTTATAGATTAAAATCAGATTTTCTCCTCGTGTGTTTGGAACAGCTCAGAGACGTCCACGGTCTCAGCTGCCCGCAAATATTAGTGTCGTCTGAACTAATATTACAACTAATGGGGAGTTTTAAGGATTTATTTTAGTCATTTATTATTTATAAAAATAATAAGAAATATTACTGTGAGAAAAAAGTAAACCTCATTGTTAAATCAGTTAAAATTGTTGTTAAAATTTATTTTTGGAGTGTTATTAGTGAAGTTTTTAAAAATAAACCCGCAACTTTAAAAAAGTCAGGTTAGAACACTTTTTGGTTTAATGTTTGTGACCCAAAAAATTAATAAAATGTAGAAAAACTCATAAATTATAATTATAATAATAATAAACTTTAATATTATTATCTCACTTTAACTTTAATTTAACCAGATGAGTCGAATGAGAACTCATTCTCATTTAGAACGCCGATCTGGCCGAGGGGCTCTCTTACCATGAGAAACAAAATGGTGTCTCTGTGATTTTATTTAGATTTTATAAACTTATATTGTTGTTTTAATAAATCCTCGCCTCGTGGATGCGTGAGCGGCCAGGTGTCAGCTCACCTGAAGCGGTGATAGCGTGACACACCGACAGCTCTGACGTGCTCCGTGCTTCTCCGCTGACTTCCTGTCGTCCTCCAGAGGGTTCTGACCTTTCCTGCTTGTTGCTGTTTATCTGTTTGGATCTGAGCTGCTTGTAGAACAGCAGGAAACAAATCACTGCTGCAGCTCTCATTAGCAGCCGGTGTGTGTCAGCGCTGAGAGATCAGCCATCTGCAGCTTCACCTTCTCCAGACCATAATTACACCGTTTAACCGCTCCAATCACGCAGCCGACCGAAAACAGGGCTTTGATTTTTCACCACAGCTTCCTAACGTCAGACGACTCACGTTTGCTAAAAATAATGAGGCCATTTACGAACAGAACAGCAAGGCATTGTGGGTAAGTTTAGATGGCGGCGACAAAAGGTGACATCAGGAGGAGGTGGCATCAGTTTTATTGTAGAAAGCTGTTGGCACAGTCCTCTCATTCTGCTGAAATCCATAAAAACAGAGTGATAAAACAGTAAAGATGAGAGAAAAAAAAACATAATTCCAACATGAAGGTTTTGAGTTTTACAAAGAAAATGAGTAAAAACAGTGATTTAGTCATCATCTCAGTCAGAAACATTTAAAATCACAGGTTTTAACATCAGTTCACTGAAAACATCTCGTTTACACTTGGGTCAGGTTTTCCCACCCACCTGATGTGATGCATATTGTGTTTACAAACATGCAAACACTTCATTTTTAATCACTGAATGATAAAAACCAAATCAAACTGCAACAGTAGTAGAATGAAAAGTTACTACAGATATTTTTGCATAAGAGGAACTGATATGTTCGGAGGAAAAGCTGCGATGTTTGGCACCTCGGCGAAACACCAGACATGATTTGGCACTGAGATCATTAGCATCAACTCCACGTAAAGAAAAGCCAATGAACACTTTTTAAAATAAATATTCTCTGGAGATGGCAACGTTTTTATGCTACTATGCTAACAGAAAAACCCCTTAGCATAAACCACGAACATAAAAATGGATAAATCATTTTCAAATAGCGACATGAATTTCTTATTGAAATGCTAATTAAATAATAGCTGTAAAATACGTAGCATTTTATTGCAAAAAAAAAAGATTTTTTATTTTATTTTGGTGAACTTTTCTTATTTGACCAGCATGCGTGATGTTTACCTCATCAAAGCAGTTTAATCTTTTATCTTAACCTAATAAAATTCAATCTAATCTGAATCTGCACACTAAAGAACTTAGCTAATTAGCTCAGCTAGCTAACCCACTGTTAACGTATTAGCATGCACTATAGAGTCCTTTCAGGAAGGTTACAGGAAGTACGAAAACACAAGTAGCATGTGCCTATTGAGCCAATTATGGAAATTACAGTTTGATGGATTAGATCCAAATCAAAGAACAAGGTGTATATTTATCCTTCAGATGAAATTTTGAAGTTCTGGATGCATACAACCAGCTAATGTCTGGATTTTAAGAGACATCTTTTGTGGTCAGTCTAAAGAAAAATGTTGTTCAGCAGATTGTAGCTTCGTGCTAACGGTGTCACGAATTAAACATTTTAGTAGCTCCATGCTAACAGTGTCACGAGTTAAACATTTGAGCAGCTCCATGCTAACGGTGTCACAAGTTAAACATTTGAGCAGCTCCATGCTAACAGTGTCACGAGTTAAACATTTGAGCAGCTCCATGCTAACGGTGTCACGAGTGAAACATTTGAGCAGCTCCGTGCTAACGGTGTCACGAGTTAAACGTTTTAGCAGCTCCATGCTAACGGTGTGATGAATTAAACGTTTGAGCAGCTCCATGCTAACGGTGTCATGAGTTAAAACGTTTGAGCAGCTCCATGCTAACAGTGTCACATGTTAAACGTTTGAGCAGCTCCATGCTAACAGTGTCACATGTTAAACGTTTGAGCAGCTCCATGCTAACGGTGTCACGAGTTAAACGTTTGAGCTGCTCCAATGATGTTCTGCTGAGCTGTGGTGGCCTCATGGAGGGGGCCATAGGCTAGCACACTGCTGCTAACCACTTAAACATTCTCCCTCTCCTGATAATAACTTTTTACTCTCTTTGACATTGAATGTGCTACTACTAGTTTACCCGTTTAATTATAGATTCACTAAGATGCTAATTTAAAAATTCCTGTGAATAATAAAGTACATTTAAAACCATTGTTTGCATAGCAGTACTTTAAAAACACACTAAATAATTTTTGTTTAAGTATTTGAACTTGTTTTATCTCCGGTTCTATTCTTCAGCCAACATGTCGGACATGTTCAGAAGAATAGAACCGGGGATAAAACTAGTTCTGGTTCGGAGCAAGAGTCTATAAAGAAGTTAGCGAGATCCAGCTTTTATTTTGGTATCCAACTTTCGCTTATTGGCAAGCAAATTTGCATATTAGCTAAATGCTTTAAGTACCAGCTCAATATTTATTTTCCACGAAGTTATTTAGCTCCACACTATATTTTATATTTTTGGGTCAGACTTAAATATTTATTTCCCAAATACTGATTTTGCAAACTAAATGTTTAGCTCCAAAATAAATATTTAGCTCGGATCTAAATATTTATTTTGGAAAATAAATATTTAATTTTCAAATTAAATATTTAATTTTCAAATTAAATATTTAGTTCCAAAATAAAAATTTAATTAGTAAATTAAATATTTAGTTAGTGAATTTAATATTTATTTTACAAACTAAATATTTAGATCAGACCTTAATATTTAGTTTGCAAAATAAATATTTAACTACAAATGAAATATTTAGCTTGCTAACTAAATGTTTATTTGGAAACTTTAACATTTATAAATGTATGAATAACATGGTGAAAATATGACTTCAAAAAAGTGAACTCCCAATTTTTTCTCTTATGAGATGCTAAATAACCAAAAATATTGCTGTTAGATTATGACAGTTTGACTTTACAAATGGCAGCCCATAGGGGAAAAGAGGACGTTTGGTCACCCTACCATAAAATAATCAGAAATAATGTTAGCATCATATTAGCTTAGCTAAACCACTTCACTGCTAGAGTGTGCGTTATAACCTGGATTTGACATGTTAGCATAAACATTATCAACTTAAATGACCTGTTTAGTAATAATTAGACCCTAAAAGTAACCTATGAAGCAGTAAGCATAGCAGCATTAGCTAGTGGGCTACCGTAGTTAGCGTGTGAGCTTGCTTAGCTCAGCATAAAGTGCTGCTTTACCATAATTACATTTTTTTATTTCATATGACAAATTAGATAAAAGTTTATCTAAAATTAAAACAAACAATTTCACAGTGCTAAGTGCTACCATTAGCACGTTAAGATGCTAAATGGATAAATTTACCAAATGTGATTTGGCACTAAACTGTGGACTGGTCACCCGTTTAGTTCTTTCTGTAATCATTAATCATAAAAGTACGTTTACCAGCCTTCCACCTCCACCACAAATGGCTCTTTAACGGGAATCCGGCCGCTGTTAACGACCACACACTCGGTGTAGGGCAGGTTCCTGTCATTCGTATCCTGGAGCTCGATGGTGTGGACTACAGACTGCCAAAACACACACACACACACACACACACACACACACACACACACACACACACACACACACACACACACACACGTTAAGCAGAAGATGACACAAGCAAGTGTATTTAAAACAACGATAATAAAAGAGTACAAATCAGAGACAAATAAAATTAAAAGTCAGAAAATCATTACTCAGTTTATATTTTGAGAAATTTTTATTTAAAAAAACTTAATCTGTAGTGGCTGAAATGTTTTAGCTTTTAAGTTATCTGTTTCAGGGGGAATGGCTTGTGTGTGAAACCATTTCCTGTAACTGGTTGGGTGACTTCCTGTGAGGGTGGGGCTCCGAGGTGATGGGCTGACTCAGTTCAGGTGTGTGAGGAGGACAGAAACCCTGCTGAGGATATTTCTCTGGCGTCAAAAAAGTAAAACAGAAGATTGTTTCAGTGTTTTTTATCACTGTAATTAGATCATTTTTGCTTTTTAAGTGTTTTTCTTCGTATGCCTGTTCTCTGCTTGTATTTCGGGTTATGGATACTGAGGTCTCATGTACCGGTCACCGGCACTTTCCTTTGTTGCTTCTGCTGTTGGATGATGGTTTTTCCTCCCAGTCCAGCTTCAGAACAACAACTGAGGTTCTGATTCTACTGAGTTACCGCGGGGTTTTAAAAAGTCTTAAAAGTCTTGAATTTGATGAAAGGAAAATTAAGATGCTTAAAAGTCTTAAATCGATTTAGTAAAGTCTTAAATTTGGTTCGTATTGACGCGATTTTAAAATACATTCGTCTCATACTTGCAAACTTGACACTTTTCAGCGAAAATTGCAGTTAATGAAACCAAATGCGTTCACGCGAATCAAAGAGCTTTTGTTTTAGGGAAGGTGAGTCTTTGGTTGGGTTTAAGTCGCTCTTTATAAGAACCAGTTTAAGAAAAATGAGGAGTGTTCATCCTCTTCACAAATCATCTTTGTTAGTGGGTCACGAGTCGCCATTTGACCAATCACAGTCACGGGGACAGCTAGGGAAAAAGACGCTAAAGTTACTCAGAGCCACAGTAAAAGGTCCAGCAGCCTGAGTTAGCTGTGGGAGCTGGAGAGGAACTGAGGAAAGCTTTTGCTGTTTGCTTGTTCAAGTTTAATTCAAATAGAACATAATTAATTGTTTAATAATTTTATGTTTAACAGTCATGTTAGAGATAAAAGGCAGAATAGATTAAAAAAAAACAATTTAACTTTTTCTGGTTACACTGAAGCTTCCCACAATGAGCAGTCTCTGTCCCACATGTGGTGAGTTGGGATCTGGTTATCCTACTTAAGAATGATTACAGTCATTTGGAATATTTTCAGATGTTTTTATGTTTGGTGTTCTGTGAATTAGTCTCATAATTAATTATTATATGATGATCTCAATCATTATCTGATTAGTTATTTCAGTTTTTTACATTTAGCTCTCTTGAACAGTAGGACTGGTAGAAAATTGCTTGGATTTTGTAAAAACATCACACACACACACACACATATATATATTTTTTTTAATATTCTCAATAAAATAAAAGTATATGAATGTGAGAGGTCACTACCAAACCCATTGTAGAATAGATGCACATTTGCAGCAGGTGAGGACCTTGTTTGGGGGGAGTTATTTTACAGCCTTGGAGTTCGTGGCTATGAGAAATAGATGCATGTAAACTAAATATACATATATATATATATATATATATATATATATATATATATATATATATATATATTGTTCTTCTATGCGTGCGGTTTGCATTTTTGTACCAAGTGGCTTTACGTATTATTGCTACAGCCTCGCCGTCCCGGATGTAACGTAACCCAACATGAAGTGGAAAACGAAGCGATGCAGTATTTAAAAATGATATATAAGTGTTTAACAGTTGATTAGTTCTTTGCGATAGACTTAATTTCATTTTTACAAGGTCTTAAAAAGTCTTAAATTTAATTTTGAGATTCCTGCATGTACCCTGTTCCAATTCTATTTAGATTTCTGGCTTCTGTCATTTGTCATTGATTACAGTCATTTGGAATATTTTCAGATGTTTTTATGTTTGGTGTTCTGTGAATTAGTCTCATAATAATTAATTATTATATGATGATCTCTAATCATTATCTGATTAGTGGGTTTGGTAGTGGGTTTGGTAGTGACCACAGTGGGTTTGGTAGTGACCTCTCACATTCATATACTTTTATTTTATTGAGAATATTAAAAATATATATATATGTGTGTGTGTGTGATGTTTTTACAAAATCCAAGCAATTTTACCAGTTATTTGATTTTTCTGCTGAAAAAAAAAGTAAACAAAAATGATTTATTTCTGCCTTTTTTAAAAACCCTTTGATGGTTAAAACTTAGCATCAGACTGGTTTTTAAATACATTTGAATTTTAAATGTAGTGATTTTGATGATGAGTTATTTATGATCCAGGGTCTGATGCATAAATGCTGGTTTTCTCTACAAAGGTTAATAAACTCCGGTGAGAAATTTTTACCTCATAAAACAAAAAACTTCTCCCATCTGGGGTTTTGGTCTCTGAAGTGAATTTAAATATTTTCGGCTTAATTTCTTTATTCTCATTAATAGTTTACTGACCCCCGGTTCACACCGGGTGCATGCGCTGTTACTGCAGCAGTGCGGCTGTGAACTGACGACGTATGCTTGAAGATTTATGTTGTTTTATCCAAGTTCGTTATTCCCATCCACTCCCATAATTATTAATATTTTGGTCCATTTCTTCACCTGTTGGTTTTTGTAAAAGACAAAGATAGGATTGAGTTTTATTTTTTCTGCTAGCCGCTTCTGGGACACGTCAATTTCCGCAGTTCACATAGTGTGAGACAGGAAACCACACGAATTCAGTGTAAAATCCCCGGTTATTTTCAAAATAAAATGCAACATTGTGATGTTCTATAAAATAGGGCTGGACGATAATTCAATAGTTCAATATATCTATCGATAGTCATGTGGTGCGATAGATAGCAGCATACTAGACTCACTTACTCCTAACCAGTCAAAACCACAGACTCGGCACGCTACGTCACCAGGCCCTCCCCTCTCAAACCAAAAGAGAGCATGAGGCAGCCGCAGCAAGATGTCTAGGGCTGCCATGATTAGTCGACTCGTCACGACAACACCGACAAATAAAATAGACCTTATTTTATAAACAATTTTTAAATCTCGCCTGCTGCAGCACGTTTGGCTTTTGCTTCCTGCCCTTCTGCTCAGCCACCGCTTTAGCTCCGAGGCGCATGTGCAGAGGTGGCCATCCAGCTCAGCCTTCATCATCGGAGAAAGTGTAGAGTCGCAAACAAGCCCCCACAATGCAGCTCAAAAATTGAGGCCATCCCGGAAGTACCAAAAATTGCAGTTCCACCCTCATCCACTAGGGGCTGGTGTCAGAAGCGAGCAAATCCTCATTGACTCCCATGTTAAAAATACAAATTTCACAGCAGAAATAAACATGTTTACAGCCTGGTACCAAAACATGTTTTTGGTTTAAATGATCTAGTTTACACTCATGACAACTCTGAGGGGGGTGAATTTTTTTCTCACTCTTCTGTTTAAGTGTATTAAAAGCCTAAAATTCTGTATAATTAATGAGCATCAGACCCACGTGACCACAGAGCTAGCTCCGGGGAAAGGCCTCAGTAGAGCCTCGGTCTGGCCTGGAAACTGCTCGGTCATTTTGAGTCTCTGTGTGTGTATTCTGTTTTGGATATTTTTTGTGCAATTGTTGGACAAAATGACTTGCTGTGGTATTAATTGCACTAATAGAGCGTCCAAGGAGTCTCCACTTCATTTTTTCGTTTGTATGTCACGTATTTTTGCTCTGATTACAAACGCTAATGATTTATCTCATCCCGCTAGGTTACAGTGGAGTTTACAGACATGTATATGACAACAACCATCTACCAGGCTGGTCCCACTTCACCACCATCATGGAAAAGAAGAGTTACACAACTTTTAAGGTGTGTGTGTGTGTGTGTGTGTCAGTTTCTCTCTGGATACAAATAAAATAAACAGTAAAATAAAAAGCATTTATGATCAAATAAAAAGGTTGCTGACTGAACAATCAAGAAACTAATATTTTTAAAGCATAAAACATTTTCTTTGTGTTAAATCTTAACCTACTTTATGTGATTTAACAGAATTATTAATCTGGTAATTAAACTAACTTTAATATCTTTTATCTTTACGCTAAAGCAGACCCTCAGAGCTGTCGATGGTCCCTGACTGCTGACGTGTGGACCAGCTGTGCTACAGAGGCATATCTTGGTGTGTTCTGCTATCTCCTGAGTGAAGATTGGAAGATGAAGCGCTTCAATCTCGCCACCATGCCTCTGAACACAAGTCATGTTTGGTTTTAGGTAGGAATGGGTTCCGAATTCGGTACTTTTTAAGGTACCGACCGAATTCCATAGTACCGACTGAGCACCGATTCACGTCATTTCAAACGGTGCCTCGTTTCGGTACCCGTCCTTCATAACAAGAACTTGCCTAGACAGCTGCGCATGCGCAAGAGCGTTATGTCGTCGGTCGCTGCGAGCGAGTTGTAAACAGAGCAGCAGGGTAGAAAGAACACACGCTAAAGCTTGGGTCCACTTCACTAAATGTGATAGGTAACTGGGTGATGATGAAACCAGCGACAACGATCTAAGTGAGACATCCTCATCTTAATCTGCTCCGGTAGGTAAATAAAATGTTTAAGATAACGTTAGCTTGATATGTTAGCTTCCGTTTCGCTAATGGTGCGTTCGCTTTCTCCTCGGAACTCCGAATTTCCGACTGGAAGAACACGAACGCGCTCTAAAGTTTGGCTTCACTTTACTAAATGCGACGGGTGATTGGGTGAAGATGAAACCAGCGACAACGATCTAAGTGTGAGGCATCATCGTTTTAATCTGCTCCAGCAGCTAAATAAACTGTTTAAGATAACGTTAGCTTGTTATGTTAGCTTCCATTGCCACCGTTGTTATCAGCTAATGGTGCGTTCGCTTTCTCCTTGGAAATTCTAACTTCCCAGTAGGAAAAATCAAATGAAAAAGGACGGCAAAAGGAATGAAGATACACAGTAAATTTAGTTCACAGTAAAGATGTTTGCTTCAGTTTAATTATCAGCTTATAAAACTACAAGGACGATGTTAAAATACAAACAGTTGTATGTTATTTATCGTGATATTTATCAAAAATGGTTATATATTGAGAAAATATATATATTTAATTATAAAAGAGAATTAAAATAATAAACACTCAAAAGTATCGAAAATTGGTACCGTTAAGTACCGGTATCGATTCCTAGGTACCGGGAATTAGTACCGAATCGATTCAAATGTCAAAGGTACCCATCCCTAGTTTTAGGTGCCTACCTCCACGTGGTTGTAGCGTTTGTATCAACAGGTTACAAGTTCATTTAAGTTGATAAGCTATCATCTTGTCTTTATTATTAGATGGCCCATAGCTGATCACACTTCAGACTAGAAGCTAATGCTGGTATATTAGGGCTTCCTGGTGCAATAAGCTAAACTTTTATAAACGACACGATTGGTCGACTACTAAAATAGTCGTTTGTGGCAGCCCTAAAGATGTAGCGGCGAGAAGAGGCGGAGAAAAAAATCTAAATACCAAAAATAAAGTGGCCAGGGTGCACGTAAAATATTTTCTACAATTGTTAAAATATTTTTCAATAATGATCGATATCGATCAATATAAAATATTTTTATCGATATACTTTTTTGCTATATCGTCCAGCCCTAATATATAACTTACGTCAGTACGTGTGACCGAACGGTTGTTTACCACCAGTTTCTTTCGAGAAGTGCAACGGTGTGATTCCTCGCGGGGGTTGTGATCTCTCGATGAGGAAGGTGTCGGAAGTCTTGAGGGATTTTAGAATCTCGCGGGTACAGCGAGGTGCAGCAAGGCAGCCGTGCTGCAGCCAAGACTCTCACGGTGTGAAAAGGAGCGCTTTGAAGTTGGCGAGTGAGCCGCCTCGCTGCTGCTCCGTTCCGCTGATGTGTGAAACCGGGGTAAGCCCCGGTCCCGCAGCTTTGGGTTGTTTCTCTGCTCCAACACACCTGACTTAATGTTGAGTCACCTGATCAGCAGCTCAAATGCCTTTTCATCACCTAAAACAGACTAAAGTAAGGTTTGCGGTCAACAAGGGCCGGAGTTGAGTACCCCTGCCATTGATTATAACGGCTTCTATTAGCCGTGGAGACGCAGCATCTCTGTAACGCGTTCCAGACGCACCCAGTGTGAATTGGAGGTCACTTACTCAATTACATTTCTCTGTTCTAGGAGAACGTTGGAGGTTCCACTCACCATCCCATCCAGAATTTTCCCAAAGACCACATGCTTCCCATCTAGCCATGGCGCTTTGGTGGCCAGGATGAAAAACTGAGACCCGTTGGTGTCTGGACCGGCGTTGGCCATGCTCACCTGGTACACACACACACAATTACTCACTTCATGCCATGTAGTTCTGTCACAACCAAATTCCTTTTAAAATGGGAAGATTCCTTTTTGAGCCGGTACCGAGCCCGGAGTTGGGTTTAAAAACTAAGAAGGCATTTTAGACACAAACAGAAAAATAAAATATTTTGTTTTGGTTTCCCAGTTTCCAGAAACGAGTCCCAATTCCATCTGCAGTTAGAAAACAAAAAGGCTTTCCTGTAGGCATGTTTGAATGAAAAACACCTTTGTGACCTGAATGTGTGCATGTGTGTGGACATGCCTGAGTGTGTGCATGTGCCTGAGTGTGTGCATGTGCGTGGACATGACTGAGTGTGTGCATGCGCATGGACTAGGGATGGGTACCGAATTCGGTACTTTTTAAGGCACCGACCGAATTCCATAGTACCGATCGAGCACCGATTCACGTCATTTGAAACGGTGCCTCGTTTCGGTACCCGTCCTTCACAACGAGAACTTGCCTAGACAGCTGCGCATGCACAAGAGCGTTATGTCGTCGGTCGCTGCGAGCGAGTTGTAAACAGAGCAGCATGGTAGAAAGAACGCACGCTAAAGCTTGGGTCCACTTCACTAAATGTGATGGGTAACTGGATGATGATGAAACCAGCGACAACGATCTAAGTGAGACATCCTTATCTTAATCTGCTCCGGTAGGTAAATAAAATGTTTAAGATAACGTTAGCTTGATATGTTAGCTTCCGTTTCGCTAATGGTGCGTTCGCTTTCTCCTCGGAACTCCGTATTTCTGACTAGAAGAACATGAACGCGCTCTAAAGTTTGGCTTCACTTTACTAAATGCGACAGGTGATTGGGTGAAGATGAAACCAGTGACAACGATCTAAGTGTGAGGCATCATCGTTTTAATCTGCTCCAGCAGCTACATAAACTGTTAAAGATGGCGTTAGCTTGATATGTTAGCTTCCATTGCCACCGTTGTTATCAGCTAATGGTGCGTTCACTTTCTCCTCGGAAATTCTAACTTCCCAGTAGGAAAAATCAAAGAAAAAAGACGGCAAAAGGAATGAAGATACACAGTAAATTTAGTTCACAGTAAAGATGTTTGCTTCAGTTTAATTATCAGCTTATAAAACTACAAGGACGATGTTAAAATACAAACTGTTGTATGTTATTTATCGTGATATTTATCAAATATTGTTGTATATTGAGAAAAATATATATTTAATTATAAAAGAATTAAAATAATAAACACTCAAAAGTATCGAAAATTGGTACCATGAAGTACCGATATCGATTTGTAGGTACCGGGAATTAGTACCGAATCGATTCAAATGTCAAAGGTACCCATCCCTAGCGTGGACATGCCTGAGTGTGTGTTAGCATACGCTCACCCAGCCGGCTCCGAGATGTTTCAGTTGGAAGTTTTCATCTGCAAACGTGGTTCCATAAATACTGTGACCTGAACAAAAAAAGTTTATTTATTCACATCAAATAACTTCATTAGTTTTAACGCCGACATGAGTATTAGTGGAGGTTTCGTTAGCTAGGTGACTCCCACCTCCGGTTCCGTCTCCAGCGGTGAAATCTCCTCCCTGGATCATGAAGTCCTTGATGACTCTGTGGAACTTGGTTCCTTTGTAGCCGTAACCCTTCTGCAGATGAACACATGAAACACCAACTTAAGAGGCTTGGTTCTGGTGGATATGAAAGAGACTGGATAAACCGGTATAAAGAATAAATCTTTTCCATTAAATCCTGACAAACCCTTCAGAATAAAAAATGTTTGTAGCTTTTATGGAATTCTGGGGGGAAAACGTTCTACGCACATCAGCTGGTATTTTACCTCTCCAGTTGCCAAGGCGACAAAGTTGTTAACAGTCAGAGGAACAACGTCACCAAACAATCCGATGACGATCCGACCCACCTCGTGACCCTCCACTGTGATGTCAAAAAACACCTGGAAGCAGGAAACGGGTGACGGCACAATCAGCTGTGATTTTATTTGTTTTAAAGTTTTTATCAGCAGCTTCCAGCAGGAGTTGTTTTTATGTATTTGTTAAAAGGAAAAAAACTAGAAGTTGTAGCTATTTTTGCTCAAATGAGAATAAAACAAAAAGGTTTATGAAATTTTATTGACCTTCTTTATAGGAAAATTTTAATAAAAAACACAATGTGGTTCAGACACTGGCTGTGAAATAATCTCCTTCTGCCTCCAATGTTTACGTTTTAAAGCGTCACATACCCAGAATGCATTGCAGTTGATCCCCATCTGAGTAATTATTAGTATTATTCTCCACACTTCTCTACATCAGCATTTTAGAGCCGCTAAAAAAGTAATCAGAACAAATTCTAAACAAGTTTACTTCCTGTCCGTCCCGACCTAAAGAACCTGGTTCTGCTCTAGAACCCGGCTGCATTTGTTCTGTTTTTATTGTTAACAGGGTTCTGGGTGAGTCAGGTATATAACACGAGACCTTTTATTGATATGTTTTTGTTTATGTATTTAGCAGACGCTTTTGTCCAAAGCGACTTACAAGTGATAATCGGCATTTTGCCCTTGAGGCTAACAACAACAATAACAACAACAAATTGACATCAGTCATGGAGAGGAGGGAACAAGGAGTGGACAGTAGAGAGGGGGGACGGGTGCAGGGAGGGTGCTAGTTAAGAAGATGCTCTCTGAAGAGCAGGGTCTTCAGGAGTTTCTTGAAAATAGAAAAGGAAGCCGCAGTTCTGGTAGTGTTAGGAAGGTCATTCCACATTTGTGGAACGATGCATGAGAAAAGTCTGGATTGTCCTGAGCGTGGTGTAGGCACTGCTAGCCGACCATCCTGTGATGACCGGAGCGGCCGGGCCGAGACGTAAGCCTTTGCAAGAGGATTCAGGTAGATGGGAGCCGTACCGTCTCTGACTTTGTATGCTAGAGTTAGCAGTTTGAATTTGATGCGTGCTGCTAGCGGTAGCCAGTGGAGCTCAATGAACAGAGGGGTGACGTGTGCTCTTTTTGGCTGATTGAAGACCAGACGCGCCGCTGCGTTCTGGACCATTTGAAGAGGTCTCACAGTACAGGCTGGAAGACCAGTTAGAAGAGCATTGCAGTAGTCGAGGCGGGAGATGACATGGGTTCAGTCTGGACAGCAGCTTACTTGTGAGACTCAAAACAACTCATCCTTTCACAATAAGAGTCTCAAACACCTGAAGCTGATACATTATTTTTGTTGTTGTTCTCCAGCCAAATGGAAGATGTTTATATTCTTTTTTCTAGAAATAACATCAACTGTACCTCAACAACTGGTTTTTTAACTGTTCACATTGGCCCCAATGAGCTTCCGTACATAACTAATGTCTTCCGTTTTTATTGCTGGTCTGTTTTGGGGGGATTATTATTCTGGAAAAACGCGCACTGTGCATGAAGTTGTCTGTCTGAATGGACACGTGTGCAGCTGTGCCTGTGACACGGTGTGTGTGTGTGTGTGTGTGTGTGTGTATGTGTGTGTGTGTGTGAATGCGCGTGCGTGCGCGTTATGGATAAGCACGCAGGTAGAAACGAGCCTTTCAGTCTCCTGCTGATTCTGGACTTTCGCTTCACCTGCGCGTACGTGCAACGGACCAGTGCATGTGTGCGCGCTCTGACGCACGGACCTGCGGTGCGCGCGCGGCTGCCTGCCACGCGGAGATGGGGCTGGCTCGCGGAAAGGAGGTCGAATGTTATTTAATGCAAATAAATGCGGACATTTCATCATCATCACCCACCTTCTCCGTGACCTTCGGTCCTCTCCGGGAAAACGCTCCGGTCACCGACTGCAGGCAGGCGGCAGAGAGGAGCAGGAGGAGAGCGGGGAGGATCGGCCCGAGCTCCATGTTCTCCTCCGGGAGACAGCGGAGGCCTCGGCCCGCGCGCCCGGCTGGAAGCAACGGAACAAAGGGGGGGGAGGACGGAAACAGCGGCCACAACCAAGTGGTGCTCGCTGCAGAACCACAAAGGCGGAGCTGCACCAGAAGGTGGAGCTGCACCAGAGTCAGCCCCGCCCATTCCAGAATCAGCCCTGCCCATTCCATCAGAGTCAGTCCAATTCCTTCCAGTTGTCAGACTTGATAGCATTCTGGAACCAAAGAGGGTGTTATAGCAAAAAAATGCAAGATTGAGGATGGAGTTGAGAAGTTAATTGAACAGTTTTTGTAAAGGTTCCATATAATTGAAAATCTAACTTTTGGAACTTTTAATCATGTTATATTGTCATTTCCTCATAAGAAGCATGCCAAAGCAATTTTTAGCCTCATTCATGCATTTTCCTCCCATCTCAGCTTCAATTTGGTCTCCTCCCCCGAAGTGGGTCTGGTCTTGGTTCTCAAATCTGGATATTCTGTGAATTTTCTGACAAATTATTTCTGAAATGACCTCTACTGAGACACCGCCGAAAAACCATACAACCCATCTCAGAGACACACTAGGCAGGACAATTAGATGTAACGCCGCATGAGTTATAACAGATGTGGTGTTGTAGTGGTTATGGAGTCAGGTTTACATGCAGTTTTGTGCAGGTTCGCCTCCCATTACTGTAAGTTTTAGGTAGTGTACAACCTCTTTTCTTCATTTCTAGCTACACTTGCCAGTACTATGTTTACAACAATTTACTGGTATACAGTTTAACATATAATGACTAATGTGTTTATTTATTTATTTATTCGTTTATTTAGCCAGTGTGAGTCCATTTGTGAGCAGAGTTTCAACTAAAATGCTGTTTAGGAACGACCAAATTCAAAGAACTTTTACAGACATAAATATTTTGCTGAAAATAAACATTACAACTAAAATATAAACAAATTAAATGTTTCAGCTGGCTAAATAGATTGCTGACGACCCCACCGAGAATCGAACCAGCATCAGCTGAGGGGAAAGCAAAACTTAACTCAGACGATCTCACCACTAGACTACCAAAGCCCATTCAAAAGTCTGTAATGCTGTTATACACCATTTCTGTTAGACCGGCTGTGGGCAGATATTTGCTGAAAGAAACCTTTTCATTTCGAGATATATTCAGTCTTTGTCATGTAGCAAGTTATATTTATCTTGTTTAATTGGAGCATAGAACATAGCATTAACGACTGTAAACTAGTAACAGCCGTAATTCATGTGGGTCAGGTCAGTTTGCGATAACGTTGAAAACAAAAACGGAAGTCAGTGGGCTAGGCTGAGTTTGCGTGAATGGGCGGGGCTGACTCTGGTGCAGCTCCACCTTATGATGCAGCTCCGCCTTTGTGGTTCTGCAGCGAGCACCCTCTCGCCACAACTGGGTAGCGGTCCGGGAGACGGAGCTCAAGTTCCAGCCACGTCACAAGACCACTCCTCGTGGGCGGAGCTTTTTCGAAGACACGCCCACCGACACCAGGGCGGGAAAAATAAAAGTGGATAAATAAAGGGAACTGAAGGGAAGCACGCGCGCGCACGCACGCACACACACACACACACACACACACACACACACACACATACATTACTGACACAGGACTGAGAAAACAGGATTTAGCATGTTCAGGTTATAAATCTGTTTGACGTCACAGCTCGTCTACGGACACAAGCTGTTAAACAGGTTTTCCTATATGCATAAAAACGCATATAGCTAACCCTAACCCGAATAAAGCCCAACAAGCAGAAACATGTTTTAATGATTTAATTAACACGATTTTATTTGTGATTTTTTCATGTGAAGTTTGCGTGGTCACTTTAAAAATCAGCATCAATACAGCCTGATGTGGTCTTGTTTTTATTTAATATCTTTGAATATTTCCACCTTAACATTGTTCTCTGGGACTTGATTATCACAGGCTAATGGTGTTGCACGCTACCCACAATGCATTGCCAATTTCTCCCTGTAGTGTCAGAGGTGTATAATACAGTGGTCATCCTTGGACCTCTCTTATTCATCATCTACATTCTTCCACTTGGCCAAATCTTTCGCAAATACAAGATAAATTTCCACTGCTACGCAGATGACACCCAGATCTATATCTCCTCTCAACCCTATGCAATCATCCCTCCAGCCTCCCTGTCCAGCTGTCTCCTTGAGATAAAACCATGGTTCTCATCAAACTTCTTGAAACTCAACAGCAATTAAACTGAACTTCTACTCACAGGGAAACCCTCCACTCTGAACAAATCTCCCAGCATATCAATTAACATCGATAATTACTCCATCCTTCCTTCCCCCCATGTAAAGAGTCTTGGCGTCATCCTTGACAGCACTCTATCGTTCAAAGCCCACATAAACAACATAATTCGCTCAGCCTACTTTCATTCACGCAACATCAGCCAACTCCGCCCCTCTCTCACTCCTCATGCTACTGCCTAGTCACTTCTAGGATTGATTATTGTAACTCCTTCTTGGTCTCCCCCACAAATCCCTTCATCGGCTCCAACTTCTCCAAAATGCTGCTGCACGGATCATCACTCGTACCCCCTCCAGAGATCACATCAGCCATGTTATTCAGCGTCTCCACTGGCTACTTACTGAACACAGAATCTCCTTTAAAATCCTGCTTCTCGCCTACAAACGTATCCACTGTCTCGCCCCTCCTTACCTCTCCGATCTCATCCATGTTGCTGTCCCATCTCGCTCCCTCAGGCCTTCCTCTGCCGTTCACCTTGTGGTTCCTCCTGCTCGTCTCACCACCGTTGGAAACAGAGCTTTCAGTCGCTCTGCTCTTCGGCTCTGGAACTCACTTCCTCCTGACATCCGAAACGCAGACTCCCTCCTCTCATTCAAATCCAAACTCAAAACTCACCTGTTCAAACTGGCTTACACTCTCTAGTCCACAAACTCTCCACTCCGTAATTTATAGTGTATTCTTTGTAATTCTATTGTTTAAACGATCTTATTCCTATTTTTGTGTAAGTTTTATCATGTTTTGTGAGGTGACCTTGGGTTTTGAAAGGTGCCTATAAGTTAAATGCATTATTATTATTATTTATCATGACAGGACAAAACTAGCCTGGCAAGCCAGACTAAAAAAATGTATTATTTAATCTGGCAACGCTCCATTGACGGGTCTCGGTTGTGGGGCGGGTTCAACCGTTGTCTTTCAAATGATCTCCGCATGCTACTGGACAATGAATGTAACATACTCACCGCAACAGCTATCAGTAAATGAGGCGGTCCGCACATAAAACACATAATTTTTTCTAAAAAAAAAAAGCACTTAAATACATCTATCTGCTCCTGATTCTAATGAAGCCAAAGTTCTAATAGTCCAAAATTGATGTAAAAGCCGTTTCAAACGAGCTGTCGCCATCTTGTTTCACTCTGTTGCATCATCCCACCCACCAGGCATATAGAGCGCCCTGATTGGCCCACAAAGCGGATAAAGCTCTGTGATTTGTTCACTAAGCAGATTGAGCACTATGATTGGCCCACCATTATGGACCAATCACAGCTCTTAATGTGTTTGAAACCCCTCTAGAGAGCTGTGATTGGCCAGCCAGAATGGTGTTAGGGGCTGCAGAGGTTCCAGTGGAGCGTTCTTAGACCAAACTTTGCAAAGCAAGAATTTGGTCTAGTTCACTAGGCTAGGACAAAACTGCTTTTAAAAGGAATCCTTGAATTTGACATGCATAACAAGCTCTGTATATTTTATTAAATCTAAATCTTTAGTTTGAATGGCCTCATGTTTTGTAGATTATACATTTGTTTTAGAATGTAGTTTCTAATGTAAGAACAACAATCTGTATTTAACAGATGGGATTACAGTTCAAACAGACTTCCTGGAGACATTTAAATAATCCCTAAAAACATCTCAAACACTTCACACTTCCTGGGTTTCAGCTAGAAGGTGTGTTTGCACCTCCGACGATGGCGTTGTTACGGTTGCATGTTGATCAATGGTGGCTAATTACCACTGAAATGTAATCATTCCCAGCCCAACTGAAATTTAAGCTTGGTTTATGCTTGACGCATTTACTTTCCACTTGGTGATGCGGCTCGCGGATGGAACGCGCTTCACAACTCGCAGCGTTCATGGTTCATGCGGCTCGTCTCTGCGGTGAGCCAATATTCTCCCAAACTGTAGGGGGCAGCATGGAGCTCTACGGCATGCATCCAACACTACACCATAGTAGAAGTAGAAATTACTGTTTACAACATGGCATTCCAGCATTTTTAACAGCGTCCTCGTCTTTTCCGACAGTGCGAGCTATTTCTCTCCAAGAATTATTAAAAACAGGTTGATCACGGTGATCTCTGACAGCTGAATCATACAAATGTCTGTATTTACGAACCTCTGCCATACTAGTTCTTGCCGGTCCGCCATGTTTTTCCGCGTCCGACCGTCCGCGTGGTTAGAAAATTTTCTAGGTGTGCATTGCGGAAATTTTGGACCGCGCGGAGCCGTGCGGTGGAGGGGCGTGGTTGTTAAAATGACGCAACTTTTCCGTGCGGAGCCGTGCGGACCTTGCGGACGCATCAAGCATAAACCAACCTTTAAACTCATGTGGGTCCAGAGTGCGGCATGGGGGTCGTTTGACAGCCCTCTGAGTGCTTTTGTGTGTCCGCCACTTGGATTTCTTCTCTGGTGCAGTTTAGTTTCTTTAGCAGACTGTTGATGTAGATCTGCAGTTTAAAATGCTTTTTATGTTTTAAATGTAATAACATGTCTATTTTAGACTTTTTTGATTGTTACAAATAATCACCACAAAAATCCACGTTTAACTTGATTGTTTCGGTCCTCGTAGTGACTCTGGCTAAACTCGGGTCCCATTCGCATTGTTAACTTCATCCAGAGTATTTCTGACCCGTTCCAAGCAGTTTTAAGTCGGAACCAAACCGGGAAGTGCTTCTGCATGAACTCAACTTGTAGAAAATCATGATTATTTATAGGGATGTAAGAAAATATCAATATGGCAATATATCGTGATATCTTTTCCAGCGATATTATGTATATCGAAATTCAAAAGCCGTGTATCGAAAATATCGCAATATATGATGATATTTTTTCCTGCTAAATTACATTGGTATTCAAAAGCTGTGTGTCGAATATTTAGAAAAAATTTACATGCAAACATTTTTTAATTTTCTTTTTGTGCAATTCAAACGCCGACCACTAGTTG